CCGCCCCCCGAGGAGCACCCTTCTCTCTCTTTCCCCCCTCCCCTCCAGCAGGGCTGGGTTGGGTGAGGTGCTGGGGGGCGGGGGAAGGAATGAAAGTGAAAGTAACTCACTTCCTCAGCAGCCAGCCAGGATTGGAATGGTCACACATGGCTGGGCTGGGGATAGGGTGACCAGATAGCATGTGCGAAAAATCAGGACGGGGGTTGGGATAGGGTGAGCAGATATCCCACTTTTATAGGGACAGTCCCAATCTTGGGGTCTTTTTCTTATATAGGCTCCTATTACCCCCCCCCCCCACCCGTCCTGATTTTTCACACTTGCTGTTTGGTCACCCTAGGTAGGAGTAATTGGTGCCTATATAAGACAAAGCTCCACATATCAGGACTGGCCCTATAAAATCAGGACATCTGGTCACCCTAGCTGGGGAGCGCGTCTCTCCCCTGGGCTGGCAGCGATCCATCTCATCCGGGGGGAGCTGCACAAGGCAGGATGAGCTGCTGTGGCTCCATGGGTGCCCCATCCCTGAGATCAGATGCTGGGCTAACTTCACCATGGTCTATTGGGCTGGCGATGGTGCCCATTGGCATGTGATTGAACCTGAGGGTTTTCTGCTGCTGTTGCTACTATGCAGCCCAAGAGGTGGATTTTGGGGTCCTGCAGTTTTCCACCTATCTCCTCCTCTACTGCAGCTGTTGGACCAGCAGGCTGGGGGGTGAGCCAAGCATGAAAGCAGTATTGTGTTGCCATTTAGATTGTCATTTAACAACTTTGTTTGCCAAAAATGCTTGCTAACAATCCTGAATTCAATTTCAATATTTTTTTTAAATCAATCTCTTAGCCAAAACCAGAAAATTAAGTTGTTGACAATTATTTGTGACAAGTTTGGTTTGGGGCAGGGAGTGGTCCAGTTTTCATCAGAGAAACAAAAAATGTTGACTGACTTTCCTATAGCCCTGTTACTGCTAAATAGAGCCCTCCAACAACTGTAATATGCTCATCTCCTTACTAGTGTATAGAGCAGGGGTCGGCAACCTACGGCATACATGCCAAAGGTGGCACACGAGCTGATTTTTGATGGCACGCCGCAGCGGACTGAGTGGCTCAGCCCACCGCCGCTCTGGGGTTCCGGCTGCTGCCCCATTGCCAGCCGGGGTCCCAGCCGCCAGCCCCACTCAGCGCCCGCTGCTGGCCTGGGGACCCCCAAGGAACCCCAGGCTGTCAGCGGGCTGAGCAAGCCAGCGGCTGAGACCCCGGCTGAGCCACTCAACCCACTGCCGGCCTGGGGTTCCATTCACTCAGCCGGACTGAGCGGGGCCAGTGGCGGGCTGAGCGGGGCCGGTAGGGGGCTGAGCGGGGCCAGCGGCTGGGACCCCGACTGGCAAGGGGCCAGCAGCCGGCACCCCCAGACTGGCAACGGACTGAGCCACTCAAGCCCCTGCCGTCCCTGCTCAGTCCGCCACCGGCCCGCTCAGCCCGCTGCCGGCTGAGTGAATGGAATCCCAGACTGGCAGTGGGCTGAGCAGGGCCAGCGGCTGGACCCCAGACTGGCAGTGGGCTGAGCGGGGCTGGTGGCTGGAACCCCAGATAAGGATCCCAGGCAAGGATCACACTAAATTGATAAGATCTGCATTTTAATTTTATTTTAAATGAAGCTTCTTAAATATTTTAAAAACCTTATTTACTTTAAATACAGCAATAGTTTATTTATATAATATAGACATAGAGAGAGACCTTCTACAAACATTAAAATGTATTACTGGCATGGGAAACCTTAAATTACAGTGAACTTGGCACACCACTTCTGAAAGGTTGCCGACCCCTGGTATAGAGTGACCATATGTTGTACTAAGATTCTCTTGCTTTTTTTCCCAGTGAGTCAGTATAGCTTTTGCCAGCCCAGAGGTTGGGCAGCCAATGTCTTATGTTTTCACAATGTTTTGTCCAACTTTCATAAAGTAAATACATGGTTAAAATGAGTTTAAAAGGCCAGGGACACTTCCTTGTGAAGAATCTGTGCAGCAGATCATGCTAAAGCTGTGAAAATGTCAGTTTCTGATGGAACTTTAGAGGCAATGATTTATCATGTATTTCTGGCAGTGCCCAAAATGTGCTGCTATTGCTAATGTCTTTCCAAACAAAAATAAGGCACAATAGGACTTCTGAAACATTTCTGTGCTACCTTAATCTAGATGAGATGATTCTGTGCTGACTTCATTTTGGTCACTTTGTGCTTTACCTAGGAGTAAAACTAGGGTTATATTTTCCCACTGCTTGGAAACCCAGCTTATTAAACTTCATAATGCCATTGATCTATTTACAGTATAAGGTTGATATAGAGTTGTAACTAACATTAAGACTGATGCCCACTATACATTTAAAACTAAAAAGTGGCTTTGTAAAAATGACATGGGTTTCCAACTCTACTGTGTCTCAGTCAGGGCGGAGCGCCTTGTGAGGTGTCTTCACACTAGCTCAAGGTCACAGTGCAAGAACCTAGAGAGCCTCCTGAAGCATGGTGATAGTTTTGATTTAAATGGACTTGAACTGAATGAAGAATTGAGTACACTGTCACCAATGTTGCCACATGCAAAATCGGTGACGGACATTGTACAGTTTATTAATACCACCAAACTTGTTGACATGTATCCTAATGTGTACATTGCCACTTGTATTCTACCGACAATTCCTGTAACAGTAGCATCAGGAGAACGGAGTTTCTCAAAACTAAAGCTCATTAAAAACTATCTCCGCTCTACAATGAGTCAGGAACACTTGACTGGTCTTGCTATTCTTGCAATCGAACAAGACATCACTTTGTCTTTGTCCTACAATGACGTTATTACTGATTTTGCAGCCAAAAAAGCCAGAAAGATTGCTTTTAATTAAAACCAAATCCTTGTTTCAATACCTCTTCATATAAATTTCCAATAAAATGTTGACAAATTTAAAAAATTATATTATTTGCATAATTCTGTCAAATCAGAATTTTTTCTATAGCGCTACTTCTTTAGTGCTAGTCCATCAGCATTACAGTGTGCTTAATTAAGTTAAACTGGGTTTAATAACGTGCATGTGGCAAGTTTTCCAATACTGTAAGCTTATGTTTGTGTTGCTAAGAGCAAGTCAGGCATAGGGGCACCAGTTTAATAATCCCGCCTAGGGCACCATAAATCCTAAGGACGGCCCTGGGAGGGAGCTATCAGGGTGGGGGAAATCGGGAGGAGGAAATCCAGAGAAACGGGGATGGGGAGCCAGCGCGGGGGAGCTGTGAGAGTGCAGGAGGCAGAAGGGTTTTGCTGAACGAACACAGACTCCTCCTTGGGCCCACTTCTACAAACACTCAGTCCCAGTCACGACCTGGCTGGCTCCAATGTGGCCGTGTGGGCAAATTACTGCAGGATCAGGCCCTCTCTAGATATTTCGATTGCACCCACCGCCATGGTCTCTCTCTAGCGTCGGAAGAAAACAGCCCAGGGGTGCCTAGGGGTGGGTGCAGAGTCATTTATCCTAGATGCGTTCTCATGTGTGACCTATGCCCGAGGAGAAGCCATGTGGGAGCAGAAGGAGAGGAGGGGCAGCAACACCCACTGCTGGTGGGACTCACCAGAGCCGTGAGGGTTAAACATGCGTCCCCATCCCCCTCTGGCAGTCTCCCACACAGCACTGCAGGCAGCAGGACGGAGAGAGCAGAAGTGTGCCGTGTCAGCCTGGCAGAGATGCTCCCCCCTGACCAGGTGCTGAGCAGCCCTGCTCCATGTGGCTGTTATGCCCAGGGCTCTACACATCACCCAGATGGTCTCCCCAATGACAGCTCCGTGCTGGTGCCAGCTGATACCAGAGGAGGCATCGCTGGTGGCAAGGTAGCGATGGAACCCAGAGGCTGCATGGCCCCAGCTCGGGTACCGCCGGCAAAGGAGGGCTGACTCACAGCCTGTCCAGCGGAGGAATGGCGAGAGCTCCCTGCTCAGCTACACCATGTCCAATGCCAATAGACCCTTTTGGACTCTAGTGGAAGGGTCCAAGCCTGCAGAGTTCCAGGGGGACGGAGGGACCCAGCACCTTGCTGGACGGGGCCAAGCCTGGCTTTCCCCAAACTTCAGCCCAAGGAATAGATGTATGACATGTGACCTGAACTCTGACCTCCAGCTAACAGCCCTGACTCGTCCCTGGGCTTTGGGCCTCCCTCGCATGCATTCTGATGGCTCCACGGCACCCATGTGCCCAAATAACCAAAGCTTGGGGAACAAGACAATGACAGCTGCACATCTTGTCCTTCACCAGACCCCCCCCAAGCAGCTCTGGGGTTCATTCCACAGCTCGGAAGAACACTGGCTTCGAATGGGTGGAACAGGTCAGCCCTATTCCTCCCGCTTGGCATGACGTTACTGTGAGCTCTGAGCTATGACGAACAGACCATGACTAAGGCTGGTTGCCAAACTGTTTTGACTTCTTGCCCTAATTGCCTTTGAGTCACCCCTGCCATGGCCTGTGATTAGCCCCTTGGGATTCAGATTACATACACTGGTATTGGAATGCGCTCAGTGATGTCTCTGAACAGAGGCAGAGACGTGGCCCCTCCTTACCTGCCCATACTCCCGCTCGATGGCAGATCTCTGCTTGCTGTAGGACCTGCAGGGAGAGCACGTGGTGGTAAGTGGCAGCATGCACATGGCCCAGGACATGCCCAGAGCCCCTCATCCTGCTTCGTTGCAGCTCCCCATGCACCCTGCATGGCCCCCGGGACACCACACCCATGTGTCCTGGGGACTGACTGCATCGGAGCTGGTAAAAGGGCATGGAGCCTTTCACCTCCACAGCGCCCATCCCAACACACTCCAGGTGATAACCCAATGGAAGCTGTTCCCACGTGAGGGCCGCTCAATGGCCCACAGGTGGAACAAGTGACTGAGTCCCAGATCAGTCCCTGGTCAGTACAGGTCCTCATCATGTAAAGCACCATCACAACCAGCACCAGCCAGCACAGGCACCAAACGAATGGGCCCACCTCGGGGTGGCACAGGGGGAGGGGGGACGAATGGGCCCCGCAGATGACACACCGCATCGGGGAGGGGTGGAGGGGACGGGACGAATGGGCCCCGCAGATGACACACCGTGTCGGGGCAGAGGAAGCGTATTGCCACTGCCTACACCTTATAGGGCCGAGGGTTCTGTCTCCAGCCTTGGCAGTCAGTGACCTCTTAGTAGCTGCTAAATACATTTTAAATTATCATCGCTTTAACATATCCCCACTACTGCTGTCCCCCGTCCTGCATTCCCATTGGTCTCTTCCGGCACCATCACCAGGAGCTGCTGGTGAACAGCACAGGCTGCCCAGAGGTTTCCTGCTTCGCAGCTTTGTCTCCTTCCCCTACTGTGAAGAAGGAAGCTCCACCTAGCTCATTGCCCAAACGAGGGATGTCCCGGGGGGAGGGGTACAGCCTGACTGAGTTTGCAGGTCTCAGCCAGAAGGATCAGCCTAGGGGCCTGACAGCGAGGCACAAGGTGCAGGACAGCCACAGCCACTCTCTGCTAGTCCCTGATCCAGGACAGCTTTGGCCTCTGGTACCTGATGTCCTCCAACAGCTCGGTCTCCCGCTGCTGCTTACTCTGCAGGCTAGACAGCTGCTCTATGAAGCGCACTTTCACCTCCTGGGTCAATTTCACCTGCCAAGGAAGGAGTTCTTAGGTCAGGGCCCGGACTTGTGCTCTGCACCCAGGGCCTCACACGCTCTGCAGCACGAGCGGCCCCCGCGATCAGCTCGCCGCTGTCCACACCACAGACCGCTACCCGCGCCCGTGGCCTGACTTGCAGACCCCGCTAAGCAGGAATCCAGGAATAGCCTGGAAAAGCAGGAGCCGAGGAGAGCCGAGAGGGGACAGGACAGGGTGCTGCAGGGGAGGGCCGAGCGCGGCCACTGCCCACCACCTGGACCCACAGCCCGCCCCGGACAGTGCCGGTCTGGGCACCGGGCTCCTCCACCCCGCTCCCCAGCCGCGTCCTGACCCACCTTACGGGGAGGCGGCTGCATCGTCCCGAATCCGCTGCGCCGCGTCCTGCGGCGGCCAGGTTGAGGGGGAGCCCGGAACTGCCGGGATCCACCCCCGCCTGCCGGCTCCGCCCCGGCCGGGCCCGGGCTCCTCCCAGCCGCCGGGCGCAGCTCAACGGGCACAGCCAGCGCCTCCGGCCCGTGGCGCAGAGAGGGCAGTGATCCCAGGCGGGGACTGGGCACGGACCGGCAGGGAGGGAGCGCCGCCGAGCTTGGCACAGAGGGAGCCCTGGGTACAGACTGGCAGGGAGGAGGCGTTGGGCTGGCCACAGAGGGAGCCCTGGGCACAGATCAGCAGGGAGGGGCACTGGGCTGGGCACAGACTGTCAGGGAGGGGTACTGGGCACAGACCAGCAGGGTGGGGGCACTGGGCTGACCACAGACTGGCGGGGGGGGGTGCTGGGCTGGGCACAGAGGGAGCCCTAGGCACAGACCGGCAGGGAGGGGGCACTGGGCTGGGCACAGAGGGAGCCCTGGACACGGACTGGCAGGGAGGGGCACTGGGCTGGGCACAGATCGGCAGGGAGGGGGTGCTGGGCACAGAGGGAGCCCTGGGCACAGATCAGCAGAGAGACCTTGCAGCCAGCCTTGCCCTGGACTTACCGCCACCTGGTGCTTCCTGTGGGAGCCCAGTCCTGCCTCAGCCTGGCAGAACCCATCTTTTCTCTCTCCATCTCATCCAGCTGGATCCCCCACACCAAGGGCTCTTGGGACCAGCTGGTGGGACAGGCCTCTGCATTGTTGGGAGAGATCTCATCTGGAAAATGTACAGTAGGGGCCCCCAGCAACCCTTCCCTCCCCATCAAAGCTAGTTTGGCTACAACATCTGTTTGCCTGGAGCTAGAGCTCTGCCCCAGGTATACCCCTCACCCTGCCCTGGCCCAGAGGTGGAAACAGTGTGGGACTCACACATACCTGAGTCCTGCGGGAGCTGGGCCCTTGGGGTAACTGGCTCTGGCTCTCTTCTGATGCCTGTGATACTCCATAGGAAAGTGAGGGTTGGCACATTTGTGCCAATGCAGTTACGGGGGAGGGGCAGCATGACCAACACAGAGGACATCCCTCCAATTGCGGGGTGGGTAAGCGCTGCGGCCTCAGCTCCTGGTGTGGTTCCAATTCCTGGGAGGCTCCTTGGGCCGGGAGTCTGGACAGGGCCGGAGGACAGGGTTCAGCAGCAGTGCCGCAGTATGTGAGGACCTTGCTGGCCAGGTAGCCAGCACAACTGTTCCCTGCACCCCAGGCCTGGTGGTTATCCTGGCCAGCCTTAAGGGACTGAACAACAGTTCCTCCCCGTGAGGGGAGGGATAGCTCAGTGGTTTGAGCATTAGCTTGTTAAACCCAGGGTTGTGAGTTCCCCCCTTGAGGGGGCCATTTAGGGAACTGGGGTAAAAATCTGTCTCGGGATTGGGCCCCCTTTGAGCAGGGGGTTGGATTAGATGACTTCCTGAGGTCCCTTTCAACCCTGATATTCTATGATTCTTCCTCTGCAGCTCCCTCTTTCTGTCTCATACTATTCCGATCTGAGGCATTGCCACCTATGTGTTCCCACCTCATTTCCTGGGTCTCATTAATATTGCCCAAGCTTCCCTTTGCTCCACCTTCTCCCCACAAGGAGCTTCCCTGCTCCCAGGGATCTGACTGGGGATGGGGCTGAGGGTGCTTCATGGGACAGGGACAGCTTGGGGTTTGGCCCACAGGCGCCAGGCTGGAGAAGAGGTGTGTGATAAACCCTGGAGCAGGGGTTTTGGTTTGGTGACAATTCTGAAAAATAGAAGAAAAACACTGGGTTCAGGTCCAGCCGAATCTGAACTGGTTTGGGATTGTTAGTGAATCGAAAAAGCCATTTGGGGTCTGTTCCAGAGCGGGGATGTCCTGGGGTGGCACTGGGCATGTGAAGCTATTGGTTAGCCTGGCCCTGGGAAAGAGGGCTGGGGAGCAGGGCAGTTCTCAGTCCTGGGACTGAAACATTCCAAGCCCGCAATCTGGAGGAGCTTCGGGGAACCTGTCACTGAGGCATGTCCGGGGCTGGGAGGCTCCTCACCATCTTTGAAGAGTAGCTGTGGCTCACTCGTCCCCTGCAGCACCCATGGCCCGAATGCTGTTTCTCTCTGTCCCTGTGCCATACACAGTTACAAGGCCTAGGACCCCTGGCTGAGCGGGGCAGTGTCAGCCCTTAGCACTGTGCCCTCACCTGCTGCTCCAGCGTAATCTGGCCTGTGGTGCTGAGCTACACAGGTCAGTGACTAGTAGTGAGTATTAGTTAAATCCCCAGGGATGGGCATTTGCTCAGTCCTGCATTTTCTGCTGTTACTTTAAACCAGGGGTGGGCAAACTACAGCCCACAGGCTACATCTGGCCCGCGGGACCGTCCTGTCCAGCCCCTGAGCTCCTGGCCTGGGAGGCTAGCTCCCTGCTGTCCCTCCTCCCCCGCAGCCTCAGCTCGCTCACTCCACCGCTGGTGCAATGCTCTGGGCGGTGGGGTTGTGAGCTCCTGGGGCAGCGCAGCTGCAGAGCCCGGCCTGACCCGATCTCTGTGCTGCGTGATGGTGGTGGCAGTGGTGTGGCCCGGCTCCAGCCAGGCGGCGCAGCTGTAGTGCCACCAGCCACCGGTGCTCCAGGCAGCACGGTAAGGGGGCACAGAGCAGGGGAGGTTGGATAGAGGGTAGGAGAGTTCGGGGTGGTGGTCAGGGGGTGGGGGTGTGGATAGGGTTCGGGGCGGTTGGTGGGGGGAATAGGAGGTTGAATGGGGGCAGGGGTCCCGCAGGGGCAGTCAGGAAGGAGGGGGGGTTGGATGGGGCGGCAGGGGGCAGTCAGGGTCAGGAGTTCCGGGGGCAGACAGGGAGAAGGGGTGGCTGGATGGGGCAGGAATTCTGGAGGGGCCGTCAGGAATGAGAGGAGGGGTTGGATGGGGTGGCGGGAGTCTGGGGGCGGTCAGCGGACAGGGAGCGGGGGTGTGTGGATGGGGCAGGGGTCCCGGTGTGGGGCCGTCAGGGAACAGAGGGTGTTGGACGGGGCAGGAGTCCCGGGGCAGATAGGAGGTGGGGGCCGGGCCACGACCCGCTCCCCTAACCAGCCCTCCATACAATTTCCGAAACCTGATGCGGCCCTCAGGCCAAAAAGTTTGCCCGCCCCTGCTTTAAACCAATCCATGGGTCAATGCTGCTCTCCCCACTGTGCTCTAGTGACTTGCCCGCTATGACCTTTCAGTGCTCAGGCACTTCCAGGCTCTTCTCACCTAAACAAGGCCAGAACCTTGTAGCTGGGCAAATCCCTCTTCTGATTCCTAGCCCAGAAACACAGCCTGACTTATCATCTCAATTCATCCGAGACTAGCCAGTCTCCCTGCAGGGGCAGGTTTCGGCTGGTTCTCTGGCTGGGCAAACGGGAATTTGCAGCTAGCTCTAGCATTGGAACTGTTTTGTAACATTAACCATGATGATCACACCCAGCATGTCAGCTGACATGCTAGGACCTGATCCTGTAGCCAGATCCAGGGTGGCAAGCCCAATGGGGCTCTCAAGGACACCGGTGGGGCTCCCAACTCTGAGGTGCAAAATATGGGTCATGTGGGCTGATCCTGAGCCCATAACACTGGCCAGCTGGCAGTAGGCACTGAGCACCCATCCAGCTTTCCTGGGACAGCTACCTCAAAAAATGGATGCTCCTGAGAAAACCTGGACAGGTGGCAGCCCTACTGTGGTGTTCTGCTGCACAGATCTGACCAAGCCTCAGTGAGTTTATTGGTGGTTTAAATGACAGAGGCTGGGGCCCCCTGCTCCAGGCCCATTCTCAGTCTTGCCCCAGGCCTAGCCTGACCTCCAGGAAAAGGTGCCATGGGGCCTCACTGCTTCTGAGCTCTGCCATGTTCTCCACCCCAGGCCAAGTCTCTGAAGCCTGGTGCTAGCTCTGATGTTGCTAGGCCTGGTTCCTGCAGTGTCCCTGCGGTGCCCTGTTCCACCAGCCCAGCTCTTCGGAACACTCTGAAAATAGAATTGGTTGAATAATGCAGAAAATTCCTGAATAATTTATTCACTGAATAACAGTATTATTCACCATCTCCATTATTCAGCCAGCTGCACAGGGCTGGAACCCGGCTCAGGGCTTTTTGCTGTTCAGAAGGCTCCATGCTGCGGGAACATTGAACTGCCCCGTCTGCCCCAGTCCTGCTGGGAGGCAGCAGGATTTCTGCTCTCTTTGCTGGTGCTTTATTGGTGTAAGGCTGCAGGCAAGAGAGGCCCTGGGCAACAGCGCAGCAGCCTGGGCTGTTAGTTATGGCTTGAAATATGGGGGTGAGAAGATAGGAGCCACAGTGCACAGTCACCCCACTGGCCTTTTTCTAGGGGACCCACAAAGAGTGCCCAGGGAGCTGGGCCAGTGGCTCCTTCTCCCTTCTTCCCATTGCTCTTTCCTCCCGCCCCCAGTATCTCACTGCAGGAAGTTGCCTGATTGGCTGGTCAGGGAAGGATGGGCGGGAGAAGGAAGTTGTGGCCAAGTTTTCTAAAGTGCTCTTCCCCCAGAGGAGGATGAGAGGTGGGGGTCTGCTGGGGGTTGTGCTGCTTTGACAGCCTGCTGCTAAGGAGGTGCCTGCACTGGCCAGCTCAGGAGAAAGCTAAAGGCAGCAGGAGGTTGGAGGGGGCGGGTTGGAGAGCAGACCAGGAAGCTGCATGTAGAGGTGGGCTGTAGTGCTGCAAGATTCACACTCAGTGCTGCAGCTTGGCCCTGCTCTATTGGCTCCTCTCTGTGCATCACTGGTATGTCCAGCAATGGGGCAAGTGGGGATGAGTTAGTCCATCCCTGCACACACGGTGTGTGTGTGTGTGGTGGGGGGGGGGGAGTGCAGGAGGGGAGTTCCCCTTGCAGCAGCTGCTGCAGCTAAAGCAATGACGGGTGCTCCCACACCGCAGCAGCGGTCTGAGTGAGCGGCAACCAGCTCGGTGCAAGCCTCAGTGAGAGCTGAACATCTTAGCAAGCAGCCACAGCATTTCTGGGAGCCTGCAGCACACTGTCCTACCCCACCATGCATCCGATCCCTGCCCATCCTAGTCATTCCATAATTCACAGCTCTCTGGGACTCACCCATCTGTCACTGGACCTTACAGTGTGTGCACCCTGGG